ATAGACACTGTGGCAGTTAATCATGGTGCCTTAAGAGAAAAGTCAACGGTCATATTATCAACAGCAGTGGTGCGCGTGTACGGACCAAGTGGACGGTCAGAACTATGCCGTGCATTAATAGACACTGCATCTGAATCACATTTCATTACTAAAGCCTTAGCAAGTCGGTTAGATTTAAAAACATTGCATCAGCCAATGATAATTGATGGTGTATCAAATGCTTCTACAACCACATCTCAAGTTTCCACGTTCAATATTTCTCCTAGGACCAATGGCAAACAAATGACGTTAACTGCCTTAGTGTCTCCTAAGATAACTGTGGATCTACCCACTGCAGCCGTGGATGTTTCACAGTGGACTCATTTAGAGCAGGTTGAGTTAGCCGATCCAACATTCCATGTGCCCAACAAAATCGACTTACTCATAAGTGCTGAATACAGTCTGGATATAATGCTCGATGGTAAAATACAAGGACCCAAAGGTACGCCGTCGCTACACAACTCTATCTTTGGGTGGATAGTATGTGGAAAATTATCTAAACCCCACAATGAACTATCAATGTTTAAGTCGGTCACGTGTTGTACCACGACGGTTGAATCACTTGTGAACCGATTTTGGGAACTGGAAGAGGTACCACGCCTCACATGTATGTCCAAAGAAGACCAACAGTGTGAAAAGCATTTTGTTGAGACATTTACGCGAGACAGCTCTGGTCGTTACACTGTCAGACTTCCTTTTGTAAAAGAACCACCGCTAGTGAACAATTCTTACCAGCTCGCTGTTCAACGCTTAAAGAAAGTTGAGAGAAGTCTGCAGACCAAACCTGCCTTACACCAACTCTACAAAGATTTTATGAGTGATTATGTAACAGCCCATCACATGACATTAGTAGAGTCCACTAGTCCAAGTCCGATTATATTCATTCCACATCATCAAGTTTTAAACCCATCCAGTACTACTACGAAGCTTCGTGTTGTGTTTGATGGTTCATGCACCATGGACACAGGAAACTCATTGAATGAACTACTTCACAAAGGACAAAAATTACAGAAAGAGGTAATTGACATATTAATCCGTTTCCGTCTACCTCGCTATGTTATTACCGCAGACATTCGACAAATGTTCCGACAAATCTTAGTACACCCCGACGATCGTGTCTACCAAGGTATTGTCTGGCGTCCAAATGAATCTAGTCCAATAAGAAGTTATACCTTAAATACGGTGACGTATGGGCTTATCACATCACCATACCATGCTTTACGAGTCCTGAAGCAATTGGCCTACGACGAGCAAGGGACTCATCCTGAGGCAGCTGCGGTGCTACAGCGAGATTTCTATGTGGATGAGGTAATGACCGCACGAGATGACATTACTGCCACAATCAAGCTACACCAGGAGCTACTACACTTGCTCGCCCGAGGTGGGTTTGAACTACGTAAGTGGGCCACCAACTGTGAAGCAGTTTTAACGCACATTCCGACAGCACTAAGAGCCACTCAACTAACGCTGATCGACCACATGGATCCGTCAATCAAAATATTGGGTATATCATGGAATGCTCAACGCGATACGTTCTCATTTCATGTTGAATCTTCCAAGGTTGGTGAAACATGTACTAAACGCTCATTACTTTCGGAAATCGCGAGGATTTTTGATCCGTGTGGATGGTTAAGCCCACTTGTGATCGTTGCGAAGATCATTATGCAACACCTGTGGAAGAACAAGTTGGATTGGGACGACCCGCTGCCTGACACACTGATCAAATGGTGGTCGGATCATCGATCTTCCTACGGTGCTCTTCGCTTCTTTGACTTACCACGGCATTGCAATGACGAACACACTCAGGTAACCACATATAGTCTACACGGTTACAGTGACAGTTCGGAACAAGCTTATGCTGCTGCTCTCTACCTAGTGTCAGTGTTTCCTGACGGTAAATCATCATCACATTTAGTTCTGTCTAAGACCAGAGTTGCACCTCTTAAGACCCAATCAATACCCAGGCTTGAGTTGTGTGGTGCCACGTTGTTAGCATCCTTGACCAAACACCTATTAGAGGCACTGTCTACAATCAACATAGAATCAGTCAACTTGTGGACGGATTCTACAATCACTCTACAGTGGATTCAGAGTGATCCACACCGGTGGACTACCTTTGTATCCAATCGAGTGAGTCAAATTCAAACCTGGTGTCCCTCAGCGGTGTGGCGGCATGTCCCGTCTCAGGACAATCCTGCGGACCTGGCCTCCAGGGGCCTGTCAGGTGATCAACTTATTACAAATGCCTTGTGGTGGCATGGTCCACAATGGCTATTACCCCCCAATCCATGGCCACAGTCTACGTTTGAATGTGAGGATCCAAATCAAACTCTCCAAGAGGAACGTAAGCCACAGGTAACTACACATGTGACCACAGAAGCTGACGCGTTTAACTCCAACTTGCTAGCTAAGTACTCGGATTTGAGTAAGTTATTGCATGTCACTTGTTACATTTTACGTTTCTATCACAACTGCCAAAAACCTGTAGCTCTTCGTCTAACTGGATTACCAACTGTGTGTGAATGGCGATCAGCCAACTTAAAATGGATCCGGTTAGTACAACAGGAATGCTTTCCACTCGACCTTCATCAGCTGCGACTGGGTCTCCCCGTCAAGTCATCCAGTACTCTGGTCAGCCTAAACCCCTTCCTTGACATAGCAGGGGTCTTACGCGTTGGTGGTCGACTCACTCAGTCTAGTTTACCTTATGACATGAGGCATCCAGTTCTTTTACCAAAGGCACATCTGTATACAACTATGGTAGTACGCTCCATCCACCTTCTGCACCAGCATGCTGGTATCAATGTCACTATGTCTCTGGTGCGGCAGAAGTATTGGGTTGTACATGGGCGCAGCATCATCAGAAAGGTTCTTCATGATTGTGTTAAGTGTTACAGATTTCGACAAGTCAAAACCCACCAACTCATGGCTGACTTACCGGCTTTTAGAGTTAATTACGCACCAGTGTTCAGCCATTGTGGAGTTGATTTTGCCGGACCTTTCAGTACTAAGCCCTCAGTTGGACGTTCAAGAATTGTGTACAAAACATATTTAGCTCTCTTCATTTGCCTGACCACCAAGGCTGTACACCTACAAATAGTGAGTGACTTGTCAGCCGATACCTTCATCGCCACACTGAAACGTTTTGTTGCCAGACGAGGCTATCCAACTAAAATGTACAGTGATAATGGTACGAATTTTACTAGTACACATCATAAACTACATGAAGTGTATAAATTGCTGTGCTCTCAACAATTGAACTCAGCCCTGAATACTTTCTGTTTGCCCAGAGAGATAGACTGGCACTTTATCCCACCAGCTTCGCCACATTTTGGTGGTATTTGGGAAGCTAACATCAAATCTTGTAAACGCATACTCCAACGCATAACTCTAAATAGTGTCTTTATATATGAAGAATTACACACATTGTTTTGTCAAGTCGAAGCGCAACTTAACTCTCGACCACTTTGCCCCGCCAGTATGGAAGCCACCGATTACTCAGCACTGACTCCCGGGCACTTCCTGTTAGGTAAAGCTCCTATGTCATTACCTGAAGTCGACATTCCTGAGCCAACACCCACCAATCGACTCACCAGGTGGAATAGAATACAGAAAATGCAGCAGTCCTTCTGGAAACAATGGTCGCAAGATTATTTGGCTACACTACAGCAACGGAATAAATGGACCACTCCCCAGCCTAACCTCCAAGTCCACGATCTCGTTCTCCTCAAAAAAGAAAATATGGCTCCCACTCAGTGGCCCCTAGCCAGAATCCTCGAGGTGCACCCCAATCCTGCAGACCACTTCGTGCGAGTTGTCACACTGAAGACAAAGGATTCGGTGCTAAAGCGTCCTATTAATAAACTCATAAGACTGCCTATCGAACATTAGTTAACTGGTTAAAGCCAATTAATTCAATTATTCAATTATTTGTTTTGTTATTAATCAAGAAATTTTGTGTCACCTTATGTGAATTTTATATTGTTATGATACTATAGTTTATACTCTGTTGAAATCTATCTGTAACTTACCCATTATGCCATTTTTACAATGTTTAAATTATTTATTTATTTATTCCACTTCCTTTTGAGAATACCTCTCAAGGGGGCCGGTATGTTTAGCAAGAATGTTATCATTATCATGTAATCAATTTAAAATACAGTCCACTGCACTTATCACATTTAAAAACTAACCTCCAATTTAGGAAAATGTGAATTATTGCATTGTCAGGCCTAGTCGGGTTATGTCGCCGAGACAGTTATGTTTTTTTGTTGAACTGTTTAAATAAAAGGAACAAAACCTACATCATTTTTTTTGCATCTACCTTTTTTTCCCAACAATAATAATAGCTCATTGATCAGATGTGAGCCCTAATAGGAATATATTATTTTTAATAATTATAGCATAAAACATTAATGTAATTTGCGCGGAGTTAACTGGCCGACAATTATTAGTGTTCATTTAGGACTATATTTAACTTCGTACTACTTGTTTTCTGTCCGGACATTAGTGAATGATTTGGACGATTCTCGTCACAATGTCATGTCTCTACAATTTAAAAGATTTTTTCCTACCACAAGAAATTTTGGATGAACTTTGTAAGAAAAAAAGACGATTAGATTTTTTAATTTAAAATTATAAAATATACTTGTGTTAAAATTAGGCCATGAAATTTAAAATATAATAAAAAACTATTTTCTATTATTTTAATCTATTAAAAATTATTTCTTTATATCAGTATACCTACCTATATTATGTCGGAATTACTTGACGCCCCCCCCCCCCCCACACACCCAGAAAAAAATTGAAAATACGCCACTGATGGGTTTTATTGAATTCAGATTACATTTACGAGATTTAAAAAATAAATTATAATCTCAATCCACTAAACATTGGTTACCTTCGTATGTAATGCATAAGAATAATTCATTATTTCAGCATCTGTCATTTTGGGTTTTATAATGCTCGGAGGACAACCAGCTGTATCATCTTCATTCGTGTAAGTGACTGTATTATAAATAGATTTAAGGTTATTATAAATGGCAAAAATAGTGGTGGTTGGAGCCTTTGGGGGTTAGAGCTCTAAAGTCTTAATGATAAGCACCGTCACACAATATATACGAACATCAGAACATACAATTTATTAAGGCATACCTATTTAATATTTTGTATTCTTAGTACAAACTACACATTACGATCAGGGATATGATCCCTAATATAATGATAGGTATGTAAAAATCTAACTTATCTACTACCTATATCATCTCATTTTTTTTATTGTTAAACTTTTGACTTCCTATGCATTCTGAAATGCCATATAACGTTCAATTATATGCTCCGCAACCGAATTGTTAATTATTATCTTGAATCTATTTAATAGTAATTGTTTTAAGTTATATACAAATTTCATACTTACTAATACCTTATTTTATCTTATTAAAATATTTTGTTCACTGACTATAGTCTCTGATTCAGTTAACATAATAGTATATCAGACAATCATTTTTCATTATGATATATATATATATATATATATATATTTAATATATTATTGTAATTCTCGCTGATGGCAGATAAGTAATTATAGTTGGATTTGGCCCAACTGTCTATTGTAGTAATTAGTAAATCCATAAGAATTATTAAAATTGTATTAGCTTTAATATGTTTGCTTATATTATTTTATAACTTATTCGAAATAATAGTTTGTTGCATAATTATTGAATAAAATTATAGAAACGCAGAAGAGAAATTTAATTGCTCAAAAGGAGTGTCGATGGAAACGTCGAAGGTTTGTGATGGTCGTAAGGATTGTTCAGATGGTTCAGACGAGACCATAGGATTGTGTGCTCGAAACGATGAGTATCGAAAAAAAATTTCCGTCAAACAATATAGGTACGGACATCAGAACATACAATTTAGGCATATTTAATATTTGGTATACTTAGTACAAACTACACATTACGATCAGGGATATGATCCCTAATATAATGATAGGTATGTAAAAATCTAACTTATCTACCATCTATATCATCTCATTTTTTTTATTGTTAAACTTTTGACTACCCATAAGCATTGGACATCAGATTCCGAGATGCCATACAACATTCAATTATATGCTCCGCAATCGAATTGTAAATTATTATCTTGAATCTATTTTATATTAATCGTTTTAAGTTATATACAAATTTCATACTTACTTTCATACTAACGAACAATGCTGCAGGGCATTAACGAGTTGAAAATTTAAATTAAGTTAATTAACTTGTTACATTTTTTTTCAAATTAACTTTTAACTTAATAAGTTACTTTTTTTCAAGATTAACGTGTTAAATTCATGTTCATTTTATTTCAAAAATATCTAAATTAAATTAATTTTCGTCCGAAGAATAATGCCAATTTTTTAATGTGCTTTTACTTTGATGTATCATTTTAAATTTCTCCAGTAATTTTCTTGGACGTAAAGAAAAAACTATCTAATAAAACATTTTATTATGTGTCTGGAATTTTTTATTTTTGCAAATTAGCAATTTTTAACTAAATTTACACTAAGTTAAGCTACTTTTTTTTCAAAGTTGACTTTTAACTTAACGAAAAAAAAATATGAGTAACTTTTAACTTAACTTAGCTTAATTGTTTTAAAATAACTTAACTTAACGAGTTTATTTAAACTCTATTTGCTTTAATATGTTTGCCAATAATATTTTATAACTAAATATTTGAAATGATAATTTATTGCATAATAATGGAATAAAATTATAGAAGCACCAAAGAGAAGTTTAATTGTTCAAATGGAGTGTCGATCGAAACGTCGAAGGTCTGTGATGGTCGTAAGGATTGTTCGGATGGTTCAGACGAGACCATAGGATTGTGTGCTCGAAACGAGTATCGAAATAATTTTTCTACCGGTACAAATAATAGCTATATGACATTAAATATTTTTCTTACGTTCTTGTATAATAAGTGCATTGAGCGCAATGTAAACGAACACAGCGAACCTATAGACAGCATATTATTATTAGTCATCGAAAATGCCTATGCCGTGGCTTAGAACATGTGTACAATAAAATAAATGGCAATAACACTAATTATAGACGATGAAATGAATAGCTCTAATCCAGGGCTTGAAATCGAAATAAAGATTTTCGATTTTAATTTCAATTTTGCAGCTTATCGATATTAGTTTTTTCTGATTTCAATTTAAAAATAAAATATTGATTTTGTGGTTTTGTGTTTTTTTTTATTGAAGCAGAATATCGTTTTAATTATAATATGATTTCGATTTTAAATATTTTTTTATTTTTATTTTCGATTTTATATATAATTTAATTTTTCAATTTTCAATTATTTTTTTTCCGTTTAGAACTTAAACATTTATTATTATTTTGATATTAGTGAAATATTTTCAAGTTATAAATTATAACTATATTATTTTATTCTTTATTACTTTAACATTTCAACCAAAGTCCAATTTAGTTTAGATTTTATATTCTGTTCATATCAGCTAAATTTCTGTCGCAGCTATTAAAATAACAATGACCAAGCCCAAATGGCTAACCTTTAGCAATTGTTTAGACTTTTTAAATCACAAAATACTAAAAATCCACCCAAGAGATAACATAATAAGCCAATAAATTGTCATACTTTTGGTTATAAAATTTTTTTTGAATTTATTTAAAATCGATTTGATTATGATAATGATTACGATTTTGATATAAATTATCGATTTTAACATTTTTCAATTTTAATATAAATTTTGAAAATCATTAACAAGCCTTCACGAATTCGATATTACTTTTGATTTTTTAAAAGATTTTTAACGATTTTTATCGATATTTAAAATCGATTTCAAGCCCTGTTCTAATCGTAGGTAACAATATTACGATGTGGAGACATTGCGGTGTATAATGTATATAGTCACTCGGCGGCGAAAACTGAGTCGTACTTTGACGGCATCGTCCTACTGGAGTGCAAATAATATTCTGCGTACCTATAAGTGGTAAACGGATTGAAAATTTAAGAGCAAATGTAGATTTCTTTGAAATGTTAGTATATTTTTATGTGCAGCTTGATTTCGAAATGAGAATTTACCTAACTTACTTAAATGTTTTTGTTATTTTTCATAAGCCCCGTAAAACTTAACTGTGGGTTTACCATTTTTTTACGGTCTTAACGACGTTCTGCGAATCAGCCCGCATTGAACTCTGATTTTTTATTTGATTTTAAACTATGGTATAAAATAATTTGTAAAAAATGATAAAAATTGTCTTTTTTAAGACTACTATTACTAGGTTTGAAATTGAAATTTTGAAAAACAAACGGGCTACCATCACCTGCAAGTGCCTTAATCAAATATTGGAAGAGACTACACCGTAGTATCCACATCGTGTTAATACCTATAATAGATGTCAGCGTTAAGCATATTATTCTAAATATGAAACTTCTTTGCTTTCTAATATTACGTCTTATAATTAATTATGTATTTAATATTATTTTAGAATGCGGTAAAGTGCATTATACGAACCAAGAAAAGATCGAAAATGGCCAAAACGCAATTTTCGGAACGGCACCTTGGCATGTTGGAATTTATAGATTCGTTAATAACGTTTCCAATTATGAATTGCTTTGTGGGGGATCACTAATTTCTTCACATTTAGTCATTTCGGGTAAAATCTTTGTAAAACGAATTTGTGAAAGAATTAAAATTAAATACATATTATTATTTTTAGGCGCTCGTTGTTTTTGGTATCATCGTCGTTACACATCTAATAAAATATCAAACATCGACGGTCTGTACAAAATTGCCGTCGGGAAATATGACAGAAATATTTCAATCATTGACAATAACTTTACTCAAATAATGGATGTAAGTTATTAATAGTTCTCAAGTCTAAAAATAATTGCTGTCAAACACATAATATAAATTAAAACGATTGTATATAGGTGGCAAATGTTTACGTGGAAAAAGGTGGATTTTTTGAGTATTTAAATAATAAAATAGCCATTGTTGTGTTAAGAAACCCAGTTTCTTTTAGTTATTATGTTGCGCCTGTTTGTATTGACTGGAATGGAGAATACAATGTAGTCAATGATGATCGCGGAAAGGTTAGTTTGTAGTATTATTTAAATATTGAAAATGTGATTGAATGTACCCAACAATGTCGACCATTGTCCATTTGTATGTAATGAGCAAATACCGTGAGATAAAGTATGTACAAATGTTGACATATTGCCATTTAAATATTTAATATAATAACAACCAATTGTACCTTAAAATTAAAAATGTATAAGCACTTGTTTATACTTTTGTACTTATTTCATATTTGATCAAATTCTAAAATTTAAAAAACTTTGATCGGTCAGAATTTATTTAACTATTTATTCACATTCTCAACAACTGTTTAAATAAATCATTAGTTTTTTAAACATTAATTGTTAAAATTTAAAATTGTACGTTATACAAATGTTTTATACTTTTACAGATTGTTAGTTGGGGATATCCGAATAACGGCAGTATAAGTCCTATTGCATTGGAATTATCTTTATCATACGTCGACCTTAGTACTTGCCAAAAAATGTACCCAAACGTATCTCGTACTGTTTTGACTTTTGATAAGTTTTGTACCGCTTCTAAATTGGGTAATATAATATTTTAAGTTAAACATATTAATACCATGAAATCATTGATTTTTTTAACAAACTAGTACCTACACAATAACACACCTCTAAATATTATAGTTTTAAACCACATCTGTCACACGTTATAGCTAGTTGCCTAACCCATACGGGCAATATGTAGGTACCTATACTTTAATATTATCAGTTACCTATCACATACCGTTGTAATACCATAGAATACTAGTATTCTATGGCAATACGGAGGTTGCAATTTGGAGGTTGTTTGGGGGTGCTTAGCCCACCATCATCGAATTTATAATGATTATAATATTATGCATTTATTTTATAACATTGTATTTGGAAACATTTATTTCTAAGTCTCTAAGACCTTATCATTTTCATTTTCATAATAATAATAATAATAATGCATAGGCACCTATCAGAATAATTATATAGATAATAATATACTATATTATAGGCAGTCTTGTAAAGTACTCGAGTAAAAGTATTTGAGTAAAAGTATTCAAATACTTTTTAAGTACTCAAATACGTATTCTAAATACATTTTAAAAAAGTTCTTGGGCACAGTATTTGAATACTTTTTTGAAAGTATCTGTAATTAATATCAAATACTATTTTAATTACTTTTTTCATCTTACTTTATTTACAGGGACGTTAAATTTAAATAAAATAATACAAATTCAAAATTGTACAACATTTTTATTTATAGATCGTTCATCATTGTGTTTGGGTATATTATAATATTTTTAGTGGCCTATACTAAATACCATTTAATTGAATGTATGTAGTCCGTCGATTTCCTAATAAAATTGGAAATATCTTTACTCGAATTATGTATATAATATAAAACATAACGATAGGTAGTCGATAGTTAATAAATTATATCTTATTATATTATATTTTTTAATATTTAAAACTAGATAGTGCTAAAATAAAAAATTAATTCAGTTTACTAATGATTCGATTTAACTATATAAGGAGACCTTATTAAGGTCATTAGGCCAAAGAAAAAAGTACAACACATTTAAAAAAAAAAGTATTTGAAAGTATCTGTAAATACTTTTTAAAAATATTTGTATTTGTACTTAAATACTTTTTTTTTCAAGTATTTAGATACGTATTTTAAATACTTTTGAAAATAAGTATATGTATCTGTACTTGAATACTTTTCAAAAGTATCTTTTACATAACTGATTATAGGTAATTGTTTATATTAAGATTAATGCGATGGTGTATAATATAGTTGTATGAATGGAGGGGGTGTGGGGCCTAGTGGACTAAAGCGTCGGTTCGAATCTCGGTCTCGGGCGGCATTTCTCTTCGGGCAGTCACTTTGTCTGGAGAGAGAGGCCGCCATCCCTAGTCTTGTAAAGATTACTTTTATTTTGTATTCGGAATACATATTCGAATACTTTAAAAAATATTCGAATAGGTACTATATTAGAATACTTTTTTTCACAACTAGTTTTTATCAGTTTTTGAATGGTTGGTAATTAACATTTATTAATTAATAAATAAAATTACATTGTAATCATAAGTTATATATACATTTTGACCACATAATATGATACAGCCGATACGGACCATACGGGATACAACACATTGGTGTTTATAAAAATAATCATATCATGGCCCAATATTATATTTCGTTCAAAGAATAAAATTAATGTTCATGATTATTGATCTATAATAATATTATTATGTCTTACATATTATTATGTCTTGTCACAAATTTAAACTATTTTTCTGAATCGGAAAAAGTATTTTTTTAATGAATAAAAAATACAAATAAAAGTATTCAGAATACGTATTTGCGAATACTTTAAAAAAAAAGTATTCAAAGACTTTTATTCAAATAATACATTTATTCGAATACTTTACAAGACTGGCAATCCCCAACCCAGACATGGCAGATACCTAAGGGTGCCCACTTCCAAATTATGCAAAACTAAAAACACACATGTTTACAACTCACAGTGCCCTCCCCCTTTTTAGTTACTAGTTGAACATTTTCAAAATTGAGTTTAATCAAAGCAAAGTTGTGTGTTTATAGTAGGTACAATGAAACATGTAGGTACCTGGTACATGACAGACTACATGGACTACTAACAATGTTCATTGAACACAATTTAGATTATAATACAATACGTTATAATAATATTTTATATCATATATAATATTTTATAAGCTAATTTACATAAAAAATTGATAGAGATTGGACGGGCCTTAACAAAAGTTGTTCTATTGATTGTGTAAGAATGGATTGTGGTGTGGGGAGCAAAACCCTCCGACGGAGACGGACCGATTTAGTCAACATAAATCTAGCACCTCCCATTAGTCATAACCCCAATTGCGCCTGTACTATTGTAATTTAGTACCTACTTGTACATAATTTGTAATCAATAGTGTAAAAATATGTACTGTACCCACCACTACCCAGTACCCACTAGCAGTCGTATGATTAATTAAAGTATTAAGTATAAAATATTTTTTGATTCAGGACCAGATGTATGTGTGCAATATGATGGTGATGGATTAAGCTTTTTCCACAACAATTCTTACTATTTAACTGGAGTAACAGGTATCAAGAATCCACTAAGTTCACTAACGGTGTTTACAGAAGTTAAACACCACGTGCATTGGATTCTTAGACTGTATAACAAACACAAATAATTTGATAAGATTAATAAAACAGTTTGTTCCAATTATTGTAATTCAAACCGATATTAGTATAAAAAGGTTTTTACTTAATATGTGTAACAATTTTTAACAGTTCGTACAATAATAATTGTTCATTAAAACTAAACCTAATGCATGTCATCATTATAAGTACCTAAGCATTATAATATAATATATAACAGTTGAAACATATTAAATTCTAACCGTTTTACCACATTATATCAATTTTGCAATGTAGATCAAATTGTTTTATAAATATTATTTCCTGTACTTTGTATTTGAAATAACTACTAATTTTATGTTTTGTCGATGACAACTTCGGCTTTAAAACTAACATATTTTTGGAATCATGATTATTAATATGCATATTATAAAATATATATTATTATATTAAATTAAATTATTTTTTGTGTATCTTTCATCACCGTTTGGGGCGGCAACACTACTTCGATATTCTTTAACAGTATCTTCTTCGATGGGAAAGTGAATCTAGTTGCTGCATACAGTAGGTCAAAGTTTAAAATTCTCAATGGTTTTCAAAATTACAGGGAAAGACAAAACAAAATTTAATGATAAACGGTAAATTTTACGCAAAATCGGTTTTTAACAACCTTGATTTTAGTTTTTGGTGTAACTCTAAAAACCAAAAAACCGTAGATACACGAAATTTTCACTGAATGTTTATATCAGTATTGTCTACGCATGATAACATTTCAAAATATTTTGACTCGTTTTGAGCGGTTTACGGACATTTTCAGTTTCCAATTTTTTTTAATTTTTTTTATTTAATTATCAATAAAATTGTATTCTTTGGGTAAAAAATCTTGAACATTTAATACAAGGACACAAGGTTCCTAATAAATAATAATATATTATTTACAATGACAGTTGAAAAATATTAAATATACATAATATACTCACAATTGTTTTATAAGCATTTAATGTTCTAATTTTGACAAAATACGTAAAAATTACGAATTACGTGGTAAATAAAATAGCTATTATAATGACTGGACGTAATGTTAGACTCAAACTTTATAAATGATGGAAACAATCAAATAACAGTGTTAAGTGGACGTGATAGCCGCATGTGTTGTCTCCGTCTTACAAGTGCGTAGCATAACAAATTTTACGCAAAGCAGAACACGTGTAGCACCGTTAATTTAAAAATAAGAGTAAATTGACCTCTTATAAAATCTAAAGGTAAGATTATTGTCTAGACAACCTCGTGGGCTTTTTATTATATTTTAATTTTTAAGCGAATATTATGAGTGCTTTAAAATGTACAAACAATTTATAATTTTAAAATACTTATAGCTCGCTTTAAAATTAAAATACAATAAAAAGTCCACGAGGTTGTCTAGATAATAGTTTTACCTACCTTTAGATTTTATAAGAGGTCAATTCATTCTAATTTTTAAACTAACGGAGCTACCCGTGTTCTGCTGAGCGTACAATTTGCTATGTTACGCACTATTGTAAGACGGAGACAACACATGTGGGTATCACGTCCTCTTAAGGGGATCGCATGCATAGGCGCAATTTCAACCTTTGACTTGAGGGGGGGGGACATAGGCTATATAGCATATGCTATAACATAGGCTCAAATTTATGGGGCTCGAGAGGGCTAAGCCCCCCAAACTAAACCGTAGCCCCCCCCCCAAAAAAAAAAAAAACCTAGGACATACAATTTGAAAAATGTTATATTGCAATGGTCTGTTTGCCTTTAATATACTCAGTCCCCTCCCCAAGTCAAAAGTTGAAATTGCGCCTATGATGCTGTTCCAATTGCGTCCGATGCGTCGAAATACAAGCTGTTTTTGTTTTTCGACGCATCGGACGCATTTACCTTGGACACGGAGTAAGACATCGAATTGCCTATACGCAACCCCTTATTAAATCACCGCATTCAATCCCCTTAAGCTATGCAGTGTACTACGCAAAACTGGAGTTTTAGTTTTAATATTTTATTCGAGAATTTTAATTTTCAAGTGCAACGCAACTTTTTTCTAATCATAACATTTTATTTCACAGTATTAATTATACATAAAATGAGATTCTAAAATTAATATAACCCAAACCACTGGCGCATCTAAATTATCTATATATTACGCCGTTTGATATTAAAACGTCATAGTACCAAATTATAAAACTATTGTAAAATATTATCAAAAAAAAAAAAATAATACCATTTAAGATAATATGTCCAACTGTACAAGGAAGATCTATCAAAATCCAATGGCGCTATAAACGTTGAGATAAAAAAATACTTAATATAAATATTTAATTTACGTAATTTTGTTGAATTGTCGTAATTTAGATTATTTAAATTTGTTTTAAATTGTTACACAAACTCTATACAACATTATAGACAATGTGAACCCGTATTTATTGCCAGATATTTAATACGTTAACTGTATAATATTATGTGCATAAGAAAGAAGATAATCATCAGTGATACATTCTATGGTTGGTTTATCGAAAGTAAAATTGTAATCAAAATACTGACCAAATAAACGACACGAAAAAGGGAAACAAAAGGTTTTTGTAAATGCTAATATAAAAAAACAATATGATCACATTGAGCTCTGTTAGTTTAAAAATTAGAGTGAATTGACTTCTTATAAAATTTAAAAGTAAGCCTATTGTCTAGTGACGTGGGGAACCTCATACGGTTTTTAGAATCTGAGCGGAGCGATGAATGCATTGATTTTACAAAGATGTGTGTTTTTTTGTGTGTCTGTCATCATGGTTTGGGACAGTAAAACTGCTTTCATATCATTTAATCCAAACTTAACACGTCCATTACGGTGACTTATCTAGACACCTAATGTACAACAGAGCGTTTTCCCCTTGCCAACTTTTTTAAGTGTATTGATACTAATCTCATTACAAATTCAGTCTCAAGTCTCCTTTTCCAGACAACATTCAATTAAGGCGTAGGTAATATGTTTTGAATGTAAAATTGATTTTACATTGATGTGTGTTTTTTATTTTATTTTATTTTTGTTTGTGTCTATGTACACGATATGTATTCGATATAATGCTTTGATTTTCAACTTCAGTATCTTTTCCTATGGTAAAGTGAATCTAGTTGGTGTATTGAGTAAGTCGAATTTAAAATTTCCAGTAGTATATTCAAAAGCACCGGTAAAAAAAAATAAGGAAAAACTGTTTTCGATAAAATCGATTTTCTTATTTGGATGTAATAAAAAAACAAATAAACGAAAATACTTTACTTTTTCACTGAATATTTATATTAGCATTTTTTATACACCAAACAATTTTCAAAATATTTTGATTTGTTTTGAGCTGTTTAAAGACATTATCATTTTCCAATTTTTTAAGGTTTTTATTCGAATAATAATAATATTATTGTCATCGGTAATTATTATTATTAATGTATATTAATATATTATATACATTAAATAGTTAGTTAATAAAATGATCAATGCAATAAGGCCTTATCTCAAAATATTTATTGTTTTTATAAAAAAATACTATTTCTGGTAAATTTTAGTTTTTGAAAAGTAGCCACATCATCAAACCTACAAGAAATTTTCGAATTTAATTTGTTATACGTATAATGTATGTGACTGAAAATAACTGATAAATTACTGTATAGTCTGTAAGCTATTAAGTATTAATATTGCAAGATTACCTTTAGATATAATAAAATTAATTATACATTTATACCTATCATTAACATGATATTTAAATCGTCATTCTTTCTTTGCCACCTATCTAGGTGGTTTGACTTTAGGTCAATCATATTATCGCACGTAGCTATAGGTAGATGATAACCATCAGAATACATACCAAAACCATGCGATAGATATAGGTGAAAGATAGATTTAGATTTTCAGAAAACCCGATATTATGTGTTTAGAACTCTCGTGCTGTTGAGATGTATTTTGTATTATCGTTTCTGCATAATATAGTGTTATTTCGTGAAGTAAAACAATTATTAATTTTTAAGGTACATTATATCATTATATAATCAACATTATTATTGTATATTTCGCTATACCTACACGCAGGGACTGCAGGAACCTTTATGATTTTATCGGTTTGGCCGGTTGAGGTTTCGGTTCCGGTTATGGTTTCGGTTTTCAAAAATATAAAGTTTCGGTTAATACCGGTTTAACACTTTATATTTGGCTTTTGCTTTTTATTTTATTTATATCAATATTAAGTACTGTGATAAAAAAATTAACATATTATAAGAACCTCTATTTAATGACAGGTATTTATTAAGTTAACAAAAGTAAAACAATTAATAAACAGGTACATTATATTATTATTACTATTATAAATTATTGTTTATTTTATTATACCTACATGTGAGAAAATGTACGGTAAAATATTGTTTAGTACCTATATAATGCGTTGATTTGATATAGCTATTGCCTATATTATAAAATATGTACCTATATAAACATTTATTGTATATAATATTATATTTATAAATATAATTGATTTAATTTCAGCTCACCGTTTGCTTTGAAGAATTCATTGTATTCCTGGATAATATATTATTCATGTTTGATTTTCGGTACGTTATACCATTGTCAACAATATAGTAATAGATAGATAATCATGTTCTTATGACATTATGTAGTTATTTATGTTAGTATTTAGTGTAATATTATATTAAAATGAATATTTTACATTAGTTATTAATATTTTATAATTAACATTAGATATTAATTTTTTATAAACTTAAATTCAACTTGTTATGTCGTTAAAGAAGTCACTTGAAAGTATGAGAAATACCATCTTGATCCGATTTGCTAAAAGATAAGATACTACAATATGTTGAAATCGAAGCACTGCTTCTAGTAGACATTTTATATACAGGATAAAAAAAAAATAAAAATAAACACCACTGTGAAACCACTAGCTTCCTCACTCCGCTCAAAATCTAAAAAATAACAGGTTGTTTGGTGATAAACGTTACTGTTATCTATTTTTATAATTTTGAAGAAATATATAAATACGACGGTATGTATGGGTACTGGGAAATAATTGTCGCAATTGGAATTAATATCCGGGGCGCCATTTCAGTTTTTTTTTAAGGTGTGCAAACAATTAAAGAGGCCAATTTTTTCCCACCTCCAGACCAATCGTTAAAAAAATGAAGGCAAACTGAAGGCCATAGTATTAATGATGCCTAGGCCAATTGTGGACAGCAAAATTACAGGGTGTGCGAGTGAACACCCTGCCCCCCCCCCCCAAATAGCGCCCCTGATTAATATCTATCTATAGTAAAATTAATAATGTAGATTTATAAAACATCGATATTTTAAAATGCTCATAATTCACATAAAAACTAAAATATCGTCAAAAACCACAAAGGTATAGAGGGAACACGTGTAGGGGGGGTGACGTCCTATTAAGATTACAATATAATATTATGATAGGTGTTATTGAATTCAGACTACAAGTACTGATTAAAACAATAAATAATAATCTTAATCCACTAAACATTGTTTAGTTTTTACCTACGTATGTAATGCATAAGAATAATTCATAATTCCAGGATCCGGAATTTTTTGTTATAAAATATTCAAAAGACGACCAGCTGTATCATCTTCACTCGTGTATATGACTGTATGATACTCGTAAATATATATTAAGTTATTAAAAATTAAAAAAATAGTGGTGGTGGAGCCTTTGGAGCTTAGAACTCCAAAGTCTTAATAAGCACCGTCAAACAATGTACGAACAAACAATTTAGGCATATATTTTAATATTTGGTATTCTTACTGCAAACTACACATTACGATCAGAGATTATTTTTTGAATTTTTATAAATTTTTTTTGAAATTGTATTATTTGTTAATGTGCAACTTGATTTTGAAATCAGCATTTACCTATCTTACTTACTTTTTTTTGTTATTGTATTTAAAATTAAAATTTTATTAACATTCATACAAATAAAAACTAAAAAAAATTGAATCTGATAATGTCCGTAAATAGCTTAAAATAAGTCAAAATATTTTGAAAATGTTATGGTGTATTGAAAATGTTAATACCTATAAACAACCAATGAAAATTTCATATATCTACAGTTATTTTTTGTAGAATTATGCAGGGGTGGACTGGCAAATTGTATGTGATTCGTGCGTGAAACATTAATACTAACAAAAAATCAATTAATTTTTTTTGTTGTGTATGTTTGTAATGCATAATTTTATTGCAATCTGTAGACTGACTAATGTCGTTAAAAGTTAATTATTGTATATTGTTTTATTTTATCATAAAAATAAATAAATAGACTATAAATTAATAACAGAGACAAGTACCTATATTTTATTTTATAATTTAAAACATATTTCTGATAACATTGACTATTTAATGTTTTTTATCAAACATATAAAAAAAATAATGTTCAATATATTTATTAGGTTTAAACAAATCTTCAATTTGTTTAAAGCGTATATTTACACTCGGAAAATTCGCTGTCCGGTAGCTGACTTGACTTTGGTAATCTATTATCATATGTGTTAGCTCGTCATTTTTTTTCAAAGTAGCTCTAAACGTGAAGATGTGTCCTGGTAATGATTCTTTAGTTTTAATATTTCTTGGAAAAATCCCAGCCACAGCATTTAATTCTTGAAAATTGTTACTTTTCATACTATTTATTATATGCTCTTTAACAATTTTGGGATTTTTCAAACCGATTTCACCACTGACAACTTCAACATGTTTACCCAAAGAAACTAAATATCTTTCCATATCATGAACACTTACACCAAAAACATCAATTCCCCACCAACCTTTAAGGTTAGGAAAAAATTCATGATCTTTGCGTACATCCGACAAATGTAAATTCAACGAATCTATATTAATTTTGTCATAATCCACGTCAAACACTTTATGCATGCTGAGGCGCGCGCAATTAGTAATCGATTCACCTTCTGATTTGGCAAAGAAGCGGTTTATGTTTACTAAATCCGAATTTTTCACGTTATATAAAATTTCATCAGAATAATAAAATAACTCTGGATGCTTCAGTGATCTAAAATCGGTTTTTATAGAAGCAGCTTTTAATTTTAGTGCATTTTTACCTTCAATTGTACTAATGTCATCATCGCCTTTTAAATACTTTAAACAATTATCTTCTATCTTCTTTAAATATGTACCAGAATCCGTATGACCTTGAAAATCTTTGATTGGACCAACATAAAATTCCGAATCTGATAAAAATTCATTACGAGCTAATGAATGTTGGGTTTCTTCGATTTTTAAAGACGTAAATTTTTCTTTAATATTAGCTAGTTCTTTATTATAAGTGGCTTCAATATGTTCTGGTATCAATTTAGGTACATTATCTAATGGTAAATCATCTAATAATGTCTGATATCCGTCTGAATTTCCAACAGTACTCCATTTGTCTTCTATTGGTTCGTGTCGGTTAGTAGCATGGGACGGATCGTTCAAGATTTCATCAACTTCCATTGGTTCGCGTCGGTTAGTAGCATGGGGCGGATTGTTCAAGATTTCATCAACTTCCATTGGTTCGGGTCGGTATACCGGCGCCGGATCAAAACCGGCTTTTACATGTGTGAGTTCTTCAATAATTACTGATTCCGGTTTTGAAACTGGTCTAGGTTTAGGTTTCAGTGCGTGATGCAGATCGTCTAAGTGTTTCACACTGACAACCGCTACGTTTTTCACGGAATCGCCTGCGACTTTGGCATTCAATCTAGCTAGTTGCGCTTTCTTCGCGGCGCGTCCGCCTAACCCTCCTGTTACGGCGTCCAGCAAGATCGATCGACGAACAACCGCGTGTTCGACTCCGCTTTTTTCGTCAAAATTCACAATATAATCAATATTACCAGTTGGTTTCCCGCCTGAGGTGACGGATACGACGCTTTGAACCTCGTCGACATACGTCTGACCGGCCACCGTCAATGCTGGCACGCATACCACGGCCAATGGTCCGCATAGAGTCCCGACTGCGCCTCCAACCACGGCCCCCGTACCGCTGTTTGCGCTCATAAACACCCGATCGGCGTCTTCTTTATCACCGAAGGCCAAATGACCCGCTGCTATAGCGTGTCCGACAACGGGCGTACCTTCGACTATATCTTTGGCAATCTGTCCAGCAGTTTGAAAATCATCTTCTATGGTACGTTTGATCACCTTATACGGATTGACGGTGTCTGTAAAAAAATTACCAACTTCACCCCAAGTTATTGGTTTTACTCCGTCACGAACACAACAGAAAAACAAAAACAAACAGTAACACGTTCTCGGCATATTAGGTCTCATATTATATTATTTTCCGTACGTGTAGCGAAAATTACAGCGAGTACTTGATGCGATCAAGAACAACGACAATATACTGATAATTTATTTCACTCGCTCCAACTTAAATATCGATCGACCATAATAATTATCTATGTTTAATGATATTATTGATTAAACAAAACGTTGATTTTCTACGAATCGTAATCTTTTTAGATAATCGCAGAAAGGTGAATATTTTTAATGAGCAATCAGAACATAAAATGTATTCTATACAAATATTATTTACGTGTTGTCTTGACATATTTATTAGGTATGTAATGTTCGTCATGACCTAACCTATCTATTTAGTCACGATGTTCGTCATCTAAAAATTCTAAGAAACAACCGATAAGTTGCAACATCGTACCTCATCAAAATACCGACAACAGTTCAACAATGTTTATCGGTATCGAATAGTATACGTACATTTGATATAAGACTCCCAAGTAATTCTAGAAAGTGTTATGTGATTCGTAGGTAACAAATGTCAAATGCCACGGTCGTGACTTACAAAGTAGTGTGTAATACTGTAATTTACGGATTTCAATAATTATGCGTTATAACTTATAAGTATATATTGCATAGGTACAAAACAAAAAAATTAATTAATTTTTTGTTATTTGTATTAATAACGACGGAAGCAAATAATTACGGAAAAACCCAATGTCAATGGTCAATGGTCGTAATCGATATTTTATTATCTTGGATTACGTATTTTATTTAACCGATTATTGATCTAAGGTAATTTCCTATTAATTCATTTTGATATTCATTGAAACTATAAATATATAATATTATTTTCTTATATGACTACACGTTATAGCTAGTTAACCACTGGCTCTAGAAACTTCTGAAATTTTGAAATGTTGCACAGATGTCCTTTATATAATGTAGGCGACCACTAAAAAGGATTTTTCAAAATTCAACACTTAAAGGGGTGAAAAGGTGTTCAACGTTTTATACATTGATTAATGCACAGCCAAAACCACTGTGTCTAGATACTTGACATTTTGCACAGAAGTTCGTTATATAAAGTAGGTAAGCCACTAAAAATAATTTTTCGATATTCAAGGTAATTAAAAGGGGGTTAAAATATTTATATAACATTCAACGCACAGCCCTAACCACTGGGTCTGGAGACTTGAAATTTTGCACAGTGGTTCCTTATACAACGTAGACGATTACCAAAGAGGGTTTTTCAAAATTTAACCCCTAAAGCGTTTTCTTAAAATTCACACCTTAAGGTGGTGAACGGGGTTAGGTCCAATGTGTCTAGATAACTAATGAAAACAAGTTAATTTTTTATTTAAAAATGTCTTATATAAGTAATTAGCAACCAGTGCAACACGATTGCACATATTTTTACTGAAAAAAACACAACACAAAAAAAGGTGGGCAAGTGGGTGTCGCTCTGCTGTACAGAAGGTTACAAGTGGTCACTGTAATGGATGGTGTTAAATTTGAATTCAATGATATAATATCATTGTATAATAAAAACATTCTGATCGAAAACGGTCAGTCAACCTATGATATTATTATAATATTATGTATATTTGATGATATTATTGTGAACAAAGTAATTTATATATAGCCTGTTTACGTTGAGCCTTGTTTTAAATTTTCAATCCTTATCTATACAATTGAACATTTTATAAATTTTTAACTACAAAATAATTATTAAATTTTAAATTTGATTAATTTTGATGAAATTCGAACTTTAAATACTTATAAAAAAAAAATGTGCCTTTTTATTTTTAACATTTTTCAACTGCTGTTATCTGCAGAAGCCTTGCATTCAATTTTCACGCTTTTTTACCCATCAAATAAAAGTTTATTGATATTTATAGAAAAAAAAAACTAAAAAAAATTAGAATTTTAAATGATCCGTAAAAAGCTCTAAAAGAATCGAATTATTTTCAATATTAATTAAATTGTGTAGTGTATAGAAAATGCTAATATAAACATTCAGTGAAATTTTTAAGTATCAACAGTCATTCGTTTTTTAATTACAACAAAATAAGAAAATTGTTATATGAGAAATCGAGTGAATATCAAATGTTTTAAAAATATGAATTTCAAACGCTCATAAAAATTTAATTTGACTTTCGTGTAGACATTTTTTTTTTTTTTGATAAAGGTAGACAAAATTATGAGGAATCTTTTTTTTTTTCAAATCTTAGATTTAGAAAGAACATTTTTTATGAGTTTCTAACTCAAAATAATTTGCACATTTTCGTAATTTTTACATATTTTGTCAATATTTGAACTTTAGATGCTTATAAAAAAAAATTGTGCCTATAGATTTTTGATTTTTTTCATCTGCCTTTGATTCAAATTACAATATACTATGATCCTTCTATTAAATTTTCAAGCTTTTTTAACCAACAAATAAAATTTTATTGATATTTATAAAAAAAAACCAAAAAATCTAAATTTTCCGTAAACAGCTCAAAATAAGTCAAAATATTTGGAAAATGTTATCGTGTATAGAAAATGCAAATATAAACGACCAGTGAAAATTTCATGTGTATACGGTCATTTGTTTTAAAATTACACCAAAAACCAAAGTCAAATTTGTCAAAAACCTATTTTGCGTAAAAATGCCCGCGTTTTTCCTTAATTTCCATGTTGTTTTTCTCGGCGCTTTTCAACACTAATGGGAGTCGAAGCATTATTTCGACTGCTTATCGTGTACACAGACACACAAAAAAAAAAAATTTAAAAAAAACACACATCATTGTAAAATCAATACATTCATCGTTTCACTCAGAATCTAAAATGAATACAAAATCATATACTATATTATAATATTTATACAATTATAAATTACTAGATAATATGTATGTACAACCATTGGATAATGTGTTTAAAATACATGGGCTATGTTCAACTAAAAGACTGTTAAAAGAAATGCATATTACTAGTGTTAGTTTTAACCTCATATGCTTGTAAATGTTGATTATAAGTAGGTAAATAATTACAATAATTATAATATTTTCAAAGTTAAAAGAATTTTATAAATGAGATAATACTTGATTTGGATCTTGATCACTTTGTCCATTGTACAAATTTCTGTTAGTAGATTTTAATTCTTAAATTTTTTTAAACATTTTAGAGCGTGACCCCATTTAAGAAATTTGTTCTTTGACCATAGACTCTGTCAAACTTTTGAAACTTTCTTCATCAATTTGTTGATCTATAAATCATTGAAAATTTAAAATCAAATTTAACTTTTAGATTAGTACCTAGGAGTTAGGACACACGTCAATACGTCATGAAGTTCTATCAATGGAATACTATAGTGTAGAAATAATATTACAGGGCTTGAAATCGATTTGAAAATCGATTTTAAATATCGATAAAAATCGTTAAAAATCTTTTACAAAATCAAAAGTAATATCGAAATCGTAAAGGCTTGATAATTATTTTCAAAATTTATATTAAAATTCAAAAATGTTAAAATCGATAATTTATATCAAAATCGTAATCATTATCATAGTCAAATCGATTTTCAATAAATTCAAAAAAAATTTTAATATCCAAGACAATTATGACAATTTATTGGCTTATTATGTTATCTCTTGGGTGGATTTTTAGTATTGTGTGATTTAAAAAGTATAAACAATATCTAAAGGTTAGCCATTTGGGCTTGGGCATTGTTATTTTAATAGCTGCGACAGAAATTTAGCTGATATGAACAAAATCTAAAATCGAAACTAAATTGGACTTTGGTTGAAATTTAAAAGTAATAAAGAATAATATATAACACAGTTATAATTTATAACTTGAAAATATTTCACTAATATCAAAATAATAATAGATATTTAAGTTAAAAACGGAAAAAAAATAATTTAAAATTGAAAAAATAAAATTATGTATAAAATCGAAAGAAAAAAAATATATTAAAAATCGAAATCATATTATAATTTATCACGTCGAGTGTTACTGCTGGGTAGCTACTCCCCTCAATCCTCATGACTTCACCGTCAACTGTATATATTTTTTTTTGTCAGCTCATATGCTCATTGTATCTACCATACAGATTGTATATTTCAAATAAATATTATAAAAAAAAAAAAAAATATTATAATTAAATCGATATTCTGCTTCAATAAAAAAAATCATAAAACCACAAAATTAATATTTTATTTTTAAATTGAAATCAGAAAAAACTAATATATCGATAAGCAAAATTGAAATTAAAATCGAAAATATTAATTTCGATTTCAAGCCCTGAGAAATAATCTAAATGCTTACCAAATCGAATAGCATAAAAACTCGCTTTTAAATTCTTGAATAATTTGTTCCGGTATTCGTAACTTCGTTAAAATATCAAGAACGAATTGATCCATTTGTAACGGCTGCATGTTACTTGCGTCCCAAAAAAAGATATATTTTTCAGGTAGTAAATTTGACCGGTAAATTGCGTCCTGTTTTGGGGACGCAAGTCAGCCATATAATTATTATCGATATTATCTTCTAAAATCATTAAAATCGATAGTATCGTGACACTAAAATCGATAGTTCATAAACTGTACCGTATACATGTGTGTGAGTGCGTGCGTTACTTACTTACAATTTATCTATGATAGTATATTCTATTAATAACTTAAGTGGGTATTATTTTATGTGAAAAGATATGGGAACATGTATACATCTTGTTGGTTGTTAGCTTCGATAAGATAAAGCAATTACGTCGATAATTTTTTTTTTTACTCGCATTTTATTTTCACATTTTACTTTTATTCAGTACGATTCGTCTTATTAGACCAATAGTTGTGAAATAACCACTCATCAAATTAAAAAAAATTAAATTAGTTAATTTAATAAAATACGATTTTTTATATTATTATTATTATTATTATTACTACCATGACAAAATATAAAACATATGAATTTGTAATTTTATAAGTTTGAATTTTAAAAAAAAGCGTGAAAATTGAACTCCTGAAGTTGAAAAATATTCGTTC